AAAAAAAAAAAGCTAAACCGGCTGGTGCTGCCGGGATAACTCCGGGGGCCATGTCCCACTTCTCGAGGTTTTGTTCTGGTTTCGAGTGTACATGGCTCCTTGCCATCCGATCTGAAAATCTCGCGGCCCTGGTGTGGCCACGTTGGAAAATACACGAAACGTAAACTAAACCCCCGCTAGTGGGTCAAGGCCCCGGGTTGAATTGTGAGGACCCCGGCCTCGATGTTATATGAGATTTTGAATATAATAAATGTGATGTGTTTAAAAAAAAAAAAAAAAGAGTGGTGTGGTGGGCTGTTGGAGAACCAAAAATGGACCGCTAGGTCTTGTCCCATTCCGTCAACAGGATTCTGTGTATCCGTATTAACTATACACGTATACCAAAAAGGACAAAAGAAGGGAAAACAGTGGCACACGTATATCTGTGTTGTCACATGTAAAATAGGGAAAAAACAAACCAAAAAAAAAAGGGCAGCGTGACCGACTAGCATTTGGCCGTTTCACATTCGGAAATGGTAGCGCGGGGTCCAACTTTCGGCGCACTGGCGCACTGTAACCTACCTACCACCTACTTCATTGGGCCTCGCTACACTACCACTCTGGAAATGTGCAAAACGAGGGTGAATGTTCGGCGAGAACATGGAAAGATGCACCGCGGCCATGAGTTTTGTCTTTTGTGCTGGTCGAGAGTGGTGGAGCGAGGCCCATTTTGTGCTATTAATGATGAATCGGGCTTCCGACTCAACGCCGGCTGCGACAGAGAAACTTATGTCACCGCCCCGATGCTCTTGTCGGTTGTTTTCCCATGTGACCATGATGTGACAATGTTTACCGAAATGGCTCACACTCCGTGCACGCTTTTTTTTTACCACCCATGCTGCACTCCGGTAAAGTTCCTGTCAGGTATCCGAAGGGCGTACCACACTCGAACGGCATTTTCGGCTCTATCTGAAGGCAACAGCCGCCGAATTCTGGCCAGAAGGTCGCAGTGTCAGCGTGGCCCCAGATATGTATGCACGTGTATGTACAAATATATGCACACAATCATCACCCAGTTGGGGTTATGTAGCACAAGCAATTAGAGGCGTCAACCAGCGGCCAAGCTCAGTTGGTAAGGCATGCAAGTGGAATTCAGAAGGTCTTGGGTTCGATTCCTAGTGCCCCAGTGCACCTTCCTGGGCATGCTTGGCGCCCGCCACCTAGATATAGCCCGTTGCTTCCCCCGATTGCTGATGTTCATAGCAGGAGGCACAGCGACTGGCCGCTCAGATGATGCTCGGTCCCTCTGCTACAGGCTGTCCCCTGGCCGATGTCCCCTATTGGGGGTTCCCTGAAGGCAATAAGACCACCCGGGTGGGACAGGCTGTCCCTACACCGTTGACACGGGAATAGATATTTGTTGAAAGGGTTTTTGAATTGATCAGGTTCTCAAACGTGTAATCGGAAAAGGTTCAAATATGGGCTGGGCTCGCCCATGGTAACAGGGGCCAATTGTTTTTCAGATTCTGTTTTTCGGTGTGGTCTTATGTGACCTTGAGCTTGGTGCCTTGGATAGCAGGGGGCAATCGTTTTCAGATTCTGTTTCGGTTGTCTTCTATGGCCTCGAACTTGGTACCTTGGATACCAGGGGGTAAATGTTTTCTATTTCTGATTCGGGTTAGCTACGGCCTCGAACCCGGTACCTTGGATAGCATAGTATTTCTTTGGGCCACTGGGCCTGGGTTTGGAGACGTCGAAGGTCTGGTACTTTGTAAACTTCCTCCTGTGCTGAATGTCGTCTTGGTTCGAGGCGGGTTGTCCTTCGACAGGTTCTTGAGTGTCTGGGTCCATTTCTCTTATAAATTGAGAAGCCTATACGTCAAACAGCACTCGATAGCGTGACGACGACGACCCCTGACGAGTCCGGCTCCGGCTCCGGACGAAACATGTAGGGTCATGCCGGGAATAGTTCAAACTTCGACGACTACGGGCACAACGCCTGATTCTGGGTTGGACTCGATAGGTGGGGCTTCATGATTTTTTATTAACCTATCAGTCGCGCTCTGGATTTGTTGACGTGTCGACTTCTCCTTATTCTTCCTCTTCCTCTTCTTCTTCTTCCTCTTCTTCTTCCTCTTCTTCTTCTTCTTCTTCTTCTTCTTCTTCTTCTTCTTCTAATTCTTCTTCTTCTTCTTCTTCTTCTTCTTCTTCCTGCCTACATGTTTGCTCGTCGTGTTTTTGCATGTTAGGCCTAAAGGCCGTCACCGGAGTTGTCAGGTTGTAACATGTTGATGCTGTGAGTTTCCTCAAACATCATTTTAACAATTGGAACCGCCGTAGAAATTGTACTACGGGTGTGTGACTCGTTGCGTGTTGCACGTTGACTATTACTTGGTGATTTTGCTATTCTGAATCGATGGCGGGTGTGACTGTAAACAATGATTGTTATGAGTGTGGGGCGATTAACCACTGGGTCCGTGATTGTCTTGTTCGTAATTCCCGATTCAGACCGCCGACTACAGGTGCAAACGCCATACCGACGGGAGCTCCTCTTTTGACATTGCCCGCTCCTATTGGATCCACCCTTGCTGTTCCACCTTCATCTTCGTTTGTCCCTAACTCTCATCCTTCCTCCTCCAATTTCCAACCAGCTAACATTGCGGGGACAAGCTATGGCCATCAGGGAAGGCCAAATTGGTGGGCACGTAATCAGGAGTGGCTCGATAAGATGTATGATAAATATTTTGAAGACTCGGAGAAAGAAGCCAGGAAGAAAGAAGAGGAGGAGAAGGAGAGGGCTCGGAGGGATGACGAAGCAAAGAAGCGTAGATGGAAACAAGAACGTGAGCAGCTCGAAGCCGAGATGCGGGCACGCTTGGAGAAGAAAATCGATGCGTTGGGTGCGAAATTGACGGAAAAGGCAGCCAGTAGCAGTGGGAGAGACGATTTCGGCGAGGAATTAACAAAGCTGCGATTGGAGAACGAAGAACTCAAGAAGAAGCTGGGGGAGTCCATCAACCCTACGGGGGACAATAAGATTATGTATTTGCAGAGAGAGATTATGGAATTGCGGAAACAGGTGGCGGACAAACATTTGAGGATGCGATTCTTGCTCTACAAGCTGAGATTGGGGAACTCAAACAATCGGCATACATGAAGACGAATTTCGAGAAGGAGATTGCTGCTCTTAGAAAGGTGATCGAAGTACTACGGGAGTAGAATGAGCGGATTACAAATGAGTCTAACATATGGAAAGAAGAGGCGGCGAGGCCTGGTAACAAGCGCGACAGTGTGATGATTGGTACACCGCATGATACGAATCGTGGAACTCCAAAACGACGGTGGACGGGGAGTGCTCGGGGGGGCGAGTCTGTGGATAAATGGAAGGATGAATATCGAAATCTTAGAAGTCTTCATCGGCTGGCTAACATCGAAGCTGAGGCATTGAAGGAGAAACAGGCTGAGGCAGAACAAAAACGAATAGAGGTCGAAAAGCAGGTGAAAACACTGGAGGAGGAGATGAGCAAACTTACGGCCAATGGAGACAACAACAAGGCTGGTGGAGGAACCAATCTCAAAGAAAGACTGGAGGAAGTTGCTCTTAGATCGACACGGAAGGGGGTGAAGGCAACCTCGGGCAGGGGGGGTGGTAAACCGACTGGTATCGAAATCAACGACAGGTGCGCCTACGTAGAAGAACAAAAGAAACAGCTGAGGTTGCTAAGAAAGGCTGGACTGGAGCCTCTCTGCAAAGAAGAAGGGGTAAAACTCGACAAATTTGAAGATACCATCTGTGAGTTGGCGGAAGCTCCCGCAAGGAAAATCTTCGAGAATAGTAAGAGTAAGGGACAATCATCGAAGGACGTAGGTCCGGTGCATGAGGTAAGCGAAGATACAACCAAGGAAGGTAACAACCTCGAGGATGATGACGAGTGCTCTGTCGAGCTATAGGAAGTTTTTTCGAGTGTGACTAAGCTTTGGTCACTGGCTAATGAGTGCAGATGCAAACATCGTAGACTTGATTCTTGTTCTTCTTACACGGGCCTTCTGTCTTCTTCTTCTTCTTCTTCTTCTTCCTTTGATTTATCGAACTCTTCTCTGGATGTTTCTTTCTTTCTTCGTGATCGTTCGGTTAACTCAGTCTTTCGATCTATAGTGATTGGTCTTATTCTCCGCGATCAGATACCTTGGGGTGTGAAATTGAAGGAGTATGTTCTCAAAGTGATAATTGATGGAGTGGATTTGGAAACGTGTGAGGGACCACTAGTCTATGTTCTGCTTTCCCCATGGTCACGACACATGTATGTAGGGTCTACCACTAGATCCCTGGCGATCAGATGGAATGAACAGTGTACGTGTACCGTGCTATGTGCCCGAAAGTCGTAGAAGAAGGGAAACAAAATCATCGACTATACTCTTGGTTGAGACGATACAATGTTGGACAATATATTGCTATTCCTCTATTTCAGTGTGAGTTGAAGGATGTTTGGTGTCTCGAGAAGTCCGCAATTGGGATTCTCAGCCCTTATCTGAATTGTCGGGACAAAAAACGAAAGGGTAAGCGGAAGAGACCGGGTAAGAAAGAACGACGGAGAAGGGGCTATGGCAAGGGAACGAGCAATCAGCTGAAACCATCCACCTGCCATCTTGTCTTTCATTCGATTGTAGGGGTGACTTCCTCTTGTCTCTCAACTATTCTGGACTATTGCGTAGAGAGGAATATAACGTGTGTTGGAATTGCAAGTACGGGGGGGGAGCGGTTTGCAGAGAATTGGAAGGTTGTTAAGAGGAAATTCGGGATTTTGTCGAGATTTTGAAAAAGGGGAAGAGAATGTTTAATCCAGGAACATTTGTACTGGTTACTGCCATTGTGTCGTTTGCATCCCGTTCGCTCATTTTGAAGCCAACTTTGGCTGGCCTTTTGTCTGATCCATCTTCCCGTCGGGAATTCTCCTTGTGGGAGTTTCTTTTGTTGGTCCAGACCTTTTCTGCTATCCGTAGTTTTTCAGACTCTCCTTGTGGGAGTTTCTACTGTTGGTCTGGACCTTTTCTGCTATCCGTACTTTTTCAGAGAAGCAGAGTTGGTACCTTTTGAGGGTAATCCTTTCAGGTGTCATCAAGAAAAGGTTTGGGTTTAATGTTAGACCAGGTCTCACTGTAAGGGTCACTTATGATGAAGCATTGAGTAAATCGGGTATCAGGTTTGCATGCTCCCTTGCCATCATGAAAAATGATGTTGACGAGGAATGGAAGCGGATGGTGGTTAGACGAATGAGAGTGGTTTGGTTAAAGAACAAAAGCGTGGGGGATTGAATTTTTAATTTTCGAAATGCTGCTAGAGAGGTCAACTCCAGTTGTGTCTATGAAAAGTTACATGTTGAGCTGCCAAGAAAAGACGGGCATGCGAGATTTCGCATTAATGAGTGGGAAAAGGCCCCGGGCTGGTTGCGTAACAATCGGAATATCGTAAGACCCGCCAAGACTGATGTGGCTGGTAGGCTACGACGCCAGATATTCACCTCCTTCCAAGAGTTGGACTTTTGAGTTCCACCTATCGACCGACGAGATCTTGCCAACTGCTTTACTGGAGTTGTCGGTGTGCCTTCGGAATGTACGGAAGAAGGGATTTTAACTTGGTTGAATAGGTTGGAAGGGCTGGTTCAGGTTCCAATCGATCACAACCAACATTGAATTAGTGAAAACCTAACAAAACCACAAAACCTAACATTTTTTATAGAACGAAAAGGTAAAAGTCAAATTGTTATTTTTGACGCATAAAAGAGAGCGTTTAACTGTTTTTTCAAGAAAAAATGCAAGAAAACGAGCAAAAAGTCTAGTAATTCTTAAAACGTGTAAGAAAACCCGTTCCAACAAAGAGCATGTTGTAAGACTATAACTCGTTCTCAGGAGATTGGCAAAAAGCGTAGCTAAAAAAAGACAATCCTTAAGGACTGTAAGGCGAACTCGAAAGAAGTTTAAAAAAAATAGTTTTAGTGAATACTCATTTATAGAACTATAAGTCGCTTTCAATAGTTTGGTAAAAACCAAACTCTGCGAAAACTAGTTTATAGAACTATGAATTAATATAAGTTCATTTTTAAGTTAACTGTAAAACCCTTGTCAAAAAATATATTTTATGTAAAAATAGAATTCAAACAACGTCTGTCTTGGATACATCTTCAAATTCTTAGCCCATCACGATTTAAAATAAAAAAATGAAAAAATATTTTAATAAAAAATACAAAAAATAATATATTCGTCTATGTATGAGATAACATATTCAAGCAAATGTATTCATAAACAGGAGAACATGTGTGTGTGTTTGGGAAACCCTCGAATAGGTTCTTTATGCTACATACCTTATAGAGCTATAAATATGATTTTTTAGATAAATAAAAAATTGAAATATTTCGGTTCCTGAACAAACATTGCTTTGCAAGGTAGTGATTTTTTGTAAAAAAACTTGCTTCTCTTCCTCACCACTTCTAGTGGTTCTGAAAAAGTAAATTTTTATTATTTTTTTGCGATTAATTTACTTCACATAAATTTTGTTTATGTCGGAGGCCTGAATAATGTACTATCAGAATTTTTAAAAATTTTCGTGCAAACCTAACAATTTTTTTTGTTAGGTTTTCACGAATCCTATTTTAACCCTGGCAATACCTTGGTGTGTTGTCCGTTGTTGTACCATAAAAGGATGGATAAAATTTTCTGATGTAATAAAGGATTGAATAAGATGAAGGACACATAAGAGGTGTTGCTAGGGATGACTAAAGACAGGTATCTCCGACGGGGTTACATAAATTGGCGAGATGGGATAACAAGGGTACGTTTGGTAAGTCTTATGTCATTCCTAAACACAAGAATATGACGAAGTGACGACCAATATGTCCCTCTTTTTCTGAATGCAATGTGCGTGGATGTCGAAAAGTCTCTCGGTCTGTGAATGCGTTGGTGTGGGGAATGCCCAATGGAATGCACTTTAATTTAAAATGTGCTGATCTGTTAGTAGAAAAGTTGCATGATATCAACAAGGAGGTGAAGGAAGGAGAAAAGTTGCTAATAGGGGCATTTGATGTTAAGAAGATGTTTTGCAATCTCCCGCATGAATCTATTATCACAGCGGTTGACTGGGTCGTTGACTTTTGAAAGGAGAGGGAGGTGAAAATGCTGCTTCTGAAGAAACGGGGTAAGGAGGCTAAACTTATGAAGGGGAAGAGGCAGGAGGGTTGAGAATTCATAAGTTTCGACATCATCCGAGCCTTTGTCCTGTTTGACTTGAAACACACCTTTGTCCGAGCAAAGGGGATGATTCTGCAGTAGTCCTTGGGGATTCCGATGGGAAAGTCGTCGAGCCCTGCCATTGCCTGTCTGCTCTGTGTCTACTCCGAATTCTCCTTCCTATCATCTCTTGGAAAGGATCGTCTGTTGGTGCGGGGCATTCGACTTATTGATGACGTGTTGATTTTCGTGAAATATCAGAGTGATGATGATAAGTCGCAGAAGAAGGCTGAAAGGATTATCGCTGATTTTGAGAGTTGTTATGATTCAAATCCGGTGTTGGAATGTACAAGCAGGACTGACTCCTGTGATTTTCTAGGATGTAATGTTACTAATCTAGGGTGACCAATGGGGGTGAGATGCGCAACCCGACTTAAGAATCAGAAAATGATTTTGTCAAAATGGTTGTGTTTTCAAAGTTTACAAGATCACTGCTCTTATGTTCGTACGAAACAGAAAATGGCATTGGTGGTTTCATTTTTGCATGGGGCAAAGAAATTCAGGAGCATTCCCGCTGCTGAGGCTGCTTTTCTTTTTGCATTGAAGGTGGAAATGCGATTGAGAGATTTTCCTGATGAAGTTTTTGATGGGTCGTTGTACAATTTCTCTAGGAAATTCGGAGGATTGTGGAGCGATTGGGTTGAATGTTTGACCGAGTGGGACAGGCTGTTCCTACATTGGTGACACGGGAATATATGTTTGTTGAAACGATTTTTGAATTGATCAGGTTCTCCACGTGTAATCGAAAAAGGTTCAAATACGGGCTGGGCTCGCCCGTGGTAACATGGGGCAATTGTTTTTCAGATTCTGTTTTTCGGTGTGATCTTATATGACCTTGAGCTTGGTGCCTTGGATAGCAGGGAACAATTGTTTTCAGATTCTGTTTTGGTTGTCTTCTATGACCTCGAACTTTGTACCTTGGATAGCAGGGGGTAAATGTTTTCTATTTGTAGTTCATGTTAGTTACGACCTCGAACCCGGTACCTTGGATAGCATAGTATTTCTTTAGGCCACTGGGCCTGGGTTTGGAGATGACGAAGGTCTGGTACTTTCTAGACTTCCTCCTGTGGTGAATGTCGTCTAGGTTCGAGGCGGGTTGTCCTTCGACATGTTCTTGAGTGTCTGGGTCCATTTGTCGTATAAATTGAGAAACCTATAGGTCAAACAACACTCGATAGCGTGACGACGACAACCCTTGACGAGTCCGG